ACGAGTGCAGCAAGTTTGTTTCGTAACGATGGGGACTGCGCAAATGCAGCTATTGAGTCTCTGAATTAGATTTTAGATTGGTCTTGATGTTGTCGCTGACCTCGCATGGGACATACAACTTGCTTCGAAGAGTGGAAGCGGACACGTGTCGACAACGTGAGCGTATTGATTACATTCGACCTGCTGCGGCTCGATCAGCGGCCCATGACCTGTGCTGGCAGTAGCGTGCTGAGATGCGAGGACCCATGCACTAAAGGCGCCTATGCCTTTATTTGCAGTCTTGGCAGATGCGAGGCCGAGCCAACGCGTATCACGCACGATACGCAGCCTCTGGTCGTGATCAGTACCGTAATAGAAGATCTAGTGCGCTCGAAGCGCGGTTGCCGTACGTTGAAGTAAAGCTACCTCGTATCCCTGTGGGATTACAGAGCATACCGCGCAGCATGGGCGACATAGCGGTGGTTGCAGCGGTGGTTGCAGCGGTGAAGCACCCGGTTGGATAATCAACCACAATTGTCTAGGGCTAGGCAGCGGTTCGCCGAAATTCTGATCAACTTTTTGGTCGATCCGACTCGGGTCTGATCCGTATACGAAGCCCGCCAAAGATATGCAATGGGTTATTTGTCGGTCGATCGATGAACGTTGTTTGGCTCTGCATCACTCCAATTTGACGGCAGGCATGGATTGAGGTCCAACTGATACTGGAGTGCGGCCGGCTTCACCATTATCATCGGATTGGTACAAGGACATACTGTACAAAGCAAAACTTGCTGCATGTTAAATATTGTTACTCAGCGCGCTGCCACATGGACGCATGGACCATCGTGACGCTGGCGACGTGATCGCCGGTCTTCTCTACTTTAGGCAACCACTGCTCCTTGACAAGTGTCGCGGCGCCGGCGCAGTGTAGCTGCTTTGCGAGCGCGTCGTCGGTCACGAGCACCATCTCACCAGATGCGACAGCGGCTGCCGCGTCCACCATGGTTGCGTTCGTGGGCAATTTGTAGAGTGCGACGCCCGCGGTGAAGTCGCGCCAAGCCGCAGCGGCTTGCTGTTCGAGCTTTGTGAGAAAGACAGAGCCACCGGCACTCTGAAGCGACACGATAGACGACGTCCGGTATGGCTGCGGCTTGGCGTGGGGCTCGGGCGCGTTAAGGCACGAGGTCACGAGCTCGTAGCTATCGTTCGCAGCATCCACGGGCGATGCAGCGACGCGAAAGCCAGCATGCTGAAAGAAGTGCGGCCGGAAGTGGTACCGCGCAAACTTGGAGCCGCCGTTGTCGCCGCTGCTCATGTACGAGCCGCCCATGATCACGTGGTGCTCCCCGTCAAAGCACGGCACTGTGAAGTCGTCGTAGACCGGGTGGATCTCAAAGCCTGGGAGCGGGCTCATACGGTCCTCGCACCACTCCCACGCGTTGCCAAAGACATCGTGGAAGCCGTTGCTGTTGGCGGGTTGAGCGTCAACAGGCGTGAAGCTCGCAAACGCCACGTTCGTGTTGCGTCCTGCCGCAGTCGCCATGGTCTCAGCCGCCGGCAGGTCCAAGATTGCGTCGCTTAGGTCGTTGGCCCGCTCGTGCTGCTCGCGCAAGAGGTGATGCATTGGCTCCGTGAGCACGTGGTACACTTCATCGGGCGCTGCATCTTTGGCTTGCTTCCACTTGCAGTACGCGTGCGCTTCGTGCAGGTTGACCTGCGCCGGCCAGTTCCATTGCATCGGAATCTCGTCAAAAATGGCTCGAAGCTTGTATTCGTGGCTGCCTTGCGGACCATCTGGGCGCCAGAACGCCGGCCATTTCGTGTTGCGGTACGAGCGCCACGCCCACCCCGTCGTCGTCCAGTGCGAGGGGTTGAGGTACCCCGAGTCCTTGACAAACTGCCAAAACTCGCCGTTCGACACGAGCTGCGACGATGCGCGGAACGGCCCGACGACAACATCCTTCGCGCCGTACTCGTTGTCCCAGCCGAACGACGGGTAACTTGTGTCCTTCCCCAAGTGCACAGCGCCACCGGCGACAGCGACCATCGGGTTGACGGGATAGTCGATGTTCTCGACAGGCACCTTGGATCGGACGTGGGCGGCGCTTTCGTGGTACGCGGGGAAGAGCGCCGGCTTTTGAAAGTTGTCAACATCGTGCTCTTGCATGAGCATCGACGATGTCTCAAGGTGGATACGGTCGTGCTCCATGGCCATGAAGAGCGCCCACGTTTGCGACGTCGGCGTGATCGGCGCGTGACCGTCCTCGAGCTCTGGGTGCGAGAGAACAATCGATTTGACAAGGCCGTACACCTGGCGCCGATACGCTTGCATCTCGTGGAGGGATGGCCACTCCTTCTCGTTCTTGGACATGTCGTCCCAGCGCATCTCGTCCACGCCGACTTCAAAGAGGTCCTCAAATGCCGGGTTCACGGGACCCTGAAGCAGGCCCGCGAGGCGGAACTTATTGACGTAAAAGCAGGTCGGGTGGCCGTAGTAAAAGGCCATCGGGTGACGGAGCCCGTGCGGCGGCGGGACGATAAAGGCCTCTTCGTTCTGAAAGCTTGAGAACAGCATGTCCGTGAGTGCCCACGTGTTGTCCAAGTAGTCGAGAACGTCTTGGCGCGTGCACGTCGCGAGGTTCGTCATGGCGACCGAGTGCAGTCGACCGTCATCGAGGAGACCGGGAAAAGTCGGGTCATTGAACGGCGTGCGTGGCGTCGTTGTGTACCATTCAACCTCAGGCTGGAGCCCAGCGGCGGCCTCGATCGTGATTGCCACCTCGTCCTTTGTGTTCTGGCGCGCCCGCATGTGTACGTGCTGAGCGCGGTCACGGCGAGGCAACTCCTTCGGAGCCTTCTGGTGATGACCGAGTGGCCCCGTCGACGTCGACACAGTGGAGAGCGCGCGGGCGAAGTGGCGTTTGTTGGAGGTCGCAAAGCGGCGCGGGAAGGACGTGATCGACAACATGCTCGACAGTGCGTTGGTCGGTTGCAGTGGTATTGGGAAGTGGTCTCATGCGTGGAGGTCCGAGCGAGTGCTCGAAATAGAACAAGCAGCAGCGCCAACGTCCTTCCTCGGACGTCGCCGGACGACAGCGGAAAGTGCACGCGGCCGTCAAGCATGCACCCACCATACGTTTTTGCTATCAAGGGCATCTCACGTCCATCCACTGTAACGCCCAGTTTGCTCTGGAACATTTACAGTGTAATTGCGAAAAATCGACCAAGAGACGTTGACCCCAAAACGGCAACGGTCGCGCCGTCTTGGTGTCCGAAAGAGCCGTGAATGACACTGCAGAACGCCGTGTAAGAACGCGTGCGCTGCCGCAACGAGGGCCGAACAGACTCATTGAATATGGAAGCCTCGTGTTGTCGTCTGACGTGGCACGCTGTGGTTTTGGTAAAAGATACTACGTACTAGTAAGCCGCACGCAAGTGCAGACGGTCGCCACAACCTTGATTCCGCCCACCGCATCTGAGCCTGGTTCTAGGATGCGATTGAAGTTCAAACTGATGCGGCGAGGTCCGACACGACCACCCAAGGTACGTGTTGTTCCCTCAAAGTCGCGCCTTCCTTGCAACTTTCTGCAATTATGTACTCGGCTTTCACTCATCCATCCCAATCGGACTCGTTGACGACAAGGTTTCTAAGGTTTCTTCGGATCTCACACATCTCACATGCTTCGTTGGCCTAGTACTGTAGTACCACACACATGCCGCGATCCCAACGTCCGTTGATCCGGTAGTGGTGGATGCATCACGAAGACGCTGGGTTGCGATCACGAGTGCCAACGTTACATGAGATCGTTGCTACTACTACCAGGTGTACGCAAGTGAAGACGAATGTCGAATGGCGTGGCTGTGTATCGCATGGTTGGGTACGACCGACGCGACGACGTCCACCGTCGTCGGGGCAAACGTGCGGCAGCTTCCGATGTCACCTGACCGCGGTCGAGTGTTTTTCATTTTTCACATTATGCACTTTTCACACAGACGGGTGATGACGACCGGCAGCGACGACGACAGCCTCCACGAGGGGCTCGCGCGGCTCTTTGGGCCAGCGCGGCGGAAGAGGAAGCGCGGGCGCGTGATGACCGAAGCGGAGGCCGTGACGAT